TAAAATATTTATTATTTTATATATATATATATATATATAAAATTTTCAGATTTTATAAATTATTTTCTTTTTTATTATAATTAATTTTCAATTTTAATTAAACTCAAATATATCATTGTTTTATAATATAATTATTTTATTATTCACATATTATATATATATATAAACATACTTATATATATATACATATTTTAGGAGAATTATGGCTGTTTCAATCAATGAAATTTGTGAAAATACCAAACTGGCTCGTGAAATGGCTTTAACTGGAAACTATGATACATCTGGAGTTTATTATCAAGGCGTTGTTCAACAAATTCATCGATTACTTGCAAATATTGCAGATGCTACCCGGAAAGCTAAATGGCAACTTGTACAACATCAAATTGTTCAAGAATTTGAAAAAGTAAAAGCAACTTCAAATACTTTACAACTTTTTAAAGTTGATACGCACGGAGAAAGATTATTAGGTACTATTACTTATGAAAAATATTTGATAAAAATATTATATTTAATCTATTATAAATAAAAATATAAATATAATAAAATAAATTTTTAGGTACTTCATGCTTATCATTTGAAGAACCTACAAGAGATCCAACTTTATGGACTTATAACAATTCAGACAGTTCATGGAATCAAACACCTGCAAGAGATCCAGATGTATGGCCACCTTTAACACCTGCTGAACAAAAGTAATTTTTTTAAATTAATAATAAAATTAAATTTATCACTTGTATTATATTACATTGATGTTATTAAATTATGTTTATAGAAATATTAAACCATTAAAAAATCAATCAAAACAACAAAATAGAACAAGTATACGAAAATCTGTAACTACTGGAAAAAGATCAGATACCAAAGCAATGGTTAAAAAAGATGATAGAAAAGTACAAAAAAAAGATGATGTAAACAAAGTATATTTCATTTTTACTATATAGACTATATAAAAAAATGATATGTACAAAGTATATTTAATTTTTATTATATTTTTATATATAGTATAATATTATAAGAAATAATAACTTTTATAGGAAAAATTGGAAACTGAAAAAATAGATATAGAAGTAGAGGAACGTAAATTTGAACCATCTGGAAATGATAGAGATTTGGTTGATTTATTAGGTAAACTATATATTATATTAGTAACTTTAAAATAAAGTAAATTATTATATATTTACATAAATATTACAGAAAGAGACATTGTTCAAAAAAATCCAAATATTCATTGGGATGATATAGCTGATTTGCATGAAGCAAAACGATTATTAGAAGAAGCTGTTGTTCTTCCAATGTGGATGCCAGATTTTTTTAAAGTATATTTAATAATTTTGTACATGTTACATTTCATAAATAAAATATGTATTTATTACAGGGGATTCGTCGCCCTTGGAAAGGAGTACTTATGGTTGGTCCACCAGGAACTGGAAAAACAATGTTAGCAAAAGCTGTAGCTACTGAATGTGGAACAACTTTTTTTAATGTATCATCTTCTACACTTACTTCAAAATATAGGGGAGAATCAGAAAAACTTGTTCGTCTCCTTTTTGAAATGGTATTTTTAATTTATGTTTTTTATCTCTTTTCAAGAAATGAATTTAAAATTATTTTTTACTAATTTTTAATTATTATGGATATTTATGCAGGCTAGATTTTATGCTCCTAGTACCATCTTCATTGATGAAATTGATTCTTTATGCTCTAGAAGAGGATCTGAATCTGAACATGAAGCTTCACGACGAGTAAAATCTGAACTTTTAGTTCAAATGGATGGTATAAGTTCCAATAGGTAAAATAATTTCATAAAATTAACTGTAATTCATATAAATTTTCTATAGAATAAAAAATAATATAGTATATATACTATACTTTATAGAAGTCTATAAAATAAATAAAATAAATTTTTTTTTAGTGAAGATCCAAGTAAAGTGGTAATGGTATTAGCAGCTACAAATTTTCCATGGGACATTGATGAAGCTCTTCGAAGACGATTGGAAAAACGTATTTATATTCCGCTACCAAATCGTAAGTTTCATTAAAATTTAATAGAAGTAATTTCTGTGATGTACATTTCAATTTCCTAAAAGAAAAAAATTGGAGTATACAGGTGAAGGTAGAGAAGCATTACTGAAAATTAATCTACGTGAAGTAAAGGTAGATTTATCTGTAAATTTAGCAGATATTGCGAAAAAATTAGAAGGTTACTCTGGTGCAGATATTACAAATGTTTGCAGGTAAATATTAAAAGTTATATTTTAATATTTTATTTATTCTAATTTATTTATTTTAATTATAATATTCATACAATTATATATATAATATAATATATATGTATATTTTATATATATTTAAATATAGAGATGCATCTATGATGTCTATGCGAAAAAAAAATTGCGGGCTTAAAACCTGATCAAATAAGACAATTACCGAAAGAAGAATTAGATTTACCTGTATCTGCTGCAGATTTTGATGAAGCTGTTGAAAGGTGTAACAAGAGCGTTTCTCAAGAAGATTTAGAAAAATATGAAAAATGGATGAGTGAATTTGGTTCTTCTTGATACCATTCTACTCAAAAAATATAAATTCACAAAAAGCTTATTCAAAAATATAATTGCTTATTTAGATAGATATTATTAAAAATTTTTGTTTGTCATTATGGATAAACAAAATATAATAAGCATTTTTAAAAATATATTTATTTATATAATAATTATCGAATTTTTAAAATGATATTCTTCATCATATTATTATTATAAACAATTTATGCTTTTCTTACTTTTTAAATTTAAAGAATAATACAAATTATATTGTTTTAAAAAATCAAAATTTTTATTAAAATTACATAATATATTATATATAAACAAAAATTGCATAAATGATATTATAAAATATTATATAAAACAAAGCAATTCAACTTCATATCATGTTATTATTAATTTAACTATAGAATTAAATTGAAGAATAATATTTTTGAATATTTTTATGATTCATAGATTTTATTAAATTAATCGTTATTTGAAGTTTATTTTTATTTAAATAATGCTCTTTTATAATTAAGTTAAATATTTTGAAAAGAAGATATTGTAAAAAATACGTTTTAAAATTTTCAATATATATTTAATTTTAAACTTACTTAAAGAAATACAAGATATTGGCGAAATTAATTTTGTACATTACATTAACTTTAGATTAAAATGTAAATTAAATTGTTATTTTTAATAGTGTAAGTTATATTTTAATAAAAACTGCAATTTTTTCTTAAAAATTAAATTTAAATATTTTTGTAAAAATATAATATGCAATTTTATATAATATCATAAACAATTTAATTTATATTAAAAATAATAGCATATTATTAATAACTATTTTTATTATTTTTTTGGAGCACAACCTTCTTTTCTTAATTTTTTAGTTTCTTCATCAATATTTTTTGAATCTTTTGGTGCTTTATAATTTGAGACATGGTCAACTCTTATTGTTCTGCCTAAAATCTAAAATTATGTAATTATTATTATTACGATTGTTTTCAGTATTTCGTCTTTTATTATTAAAAAATTTAATACAAAAATATTTATACCTTGGTACCGTTAAAGTTATCAACAGCTAATATTGTACTTCTTTGATCTTCATAGCATAAAAAACCATATCCTTTTTGCTTTCCTGTATCTTTATCTCTAATTAAATTTATATTTACAACTTCTCCAAATCTATAATGATAAAAATCTATAATGATTAATATTTATTAAATAAATATTTATCAATTATTTTGAATTTTATACTTACTGAGAAAATACTGTTATTACATCACCTTCTGTTAAATCATATGGTAATCCACCAATAAAAATCCAAGCACTATTTTTATATTGATCATGCCAAGATGTTTTTCTATCGCCTAATAATTCTTGTTCTCCAAGTTTCTGTATATTTTTACGTTCTAAAAATATCCAATTATAATTAAATAAATAATAAATTAAACAATTAGATTTATATTTACAAATGAACTTTATAAAAAATACTCACGTTAAAGGATTCATTTTATATATACTAAAAAAATAGTATATTAAAAAATTACTAATATATTTTTTAAATTTTATATGATATTATTATTATTTATACAAGTATATTATATATTTGCATAATATACATATTTATAATAAAATTTAATTTATTTCTATATTTAATATTTATTGATATAATTATACAAAAAGAACTATTTTAATTATTTATTTATATATATATATATATATATATGTTTATTAAAAAATGATATTATAGTCACATTGAACATAAGTGCGATATTTTAGAATATAACCTCAAAAATAGCTTACATCAACATGGATAATTTCATATAATATAAAAATATAAATATAAATAAGAGAAAAATAGATAATAAAAATATTATATTATATTAATAGAAGAAATTGAGAAAAAAACTGATAAAATTATTTGAAAGTTATTAAATCAAATAATTATTAATATATTCTTCTTATAACATCTTAATTTATTAATGTAATTATATCAGAGAATATTTAATTTCATAATAGCTTTTTTTATAATGATTTGTATAAAGAGTAAAATGATTAAATTAATGATTATAATTAATATGTATATTTCTATATATATTGTATAATATATTTTAAATAAATATAAATTGTTTATTAATAAAAAAAGAAAAATATGGTATTAACAACAAGAATGTCACATAAAGTAAATAGAATTTCTTATTACTATCATAATGTTTTTGTAATATTTTTGTTAATGTTTACATTATTTATAATATTAATTACGACATATCATATTTTTAAATTTGGGAGTACACAAAAGCGTTCTGTATATAATCCCATTGTTCTTAATGATTTACATTCATTACCTGTACAAGTAATAGATGCAGATTTTGCAATGGCAGATACCACAAATAGTTCTTGCACATACTTCAGTTGTTTTAATGTTTATCGTTGTGGCAGTCAAGGAATAAGCTTTTAGTATATGTTTATCCACCAAAACTATATGTAGATTCATTAGAAAGATCTATAACAAGTCAAATAACAAAAGAGTTTTATCAAATTTTAAATACAATTATTTCAAGTAAATTTTACACACCAAATCCATATGAAGCATGTATCTTCATTCCTTCAATTGATACATTAAATCAAAATAGATTAAAATTACAAGAAGTTTCACAAGCTCTGAAATCATTGCCATTGTAAGTTTCTTTTTGTTTTATACATTTATACTTGAAAAAATTAAATATAATTTAACTATGTGAAATTTATTCAAATTTCAGCTGGAATAATGGAGAAAATCATTTGATATTTAATATGATACCTGGAACTGTACCTGATTATAACACAGTTATTGATGTACCTGTTGGAAAAGCAATGATCGCAGGTGCAGGAATGTCTTCATTAACATATAGATCTGGTTTTGATATCAGTTTACCAGTATATAGTCCTCTTGTAAATAGTCTTAAATTAAATTTTAATAATACAAGGTAATAAACTTTATAGTTTTTTAATTATTCATAATAATAAATATTTATATATTCCAGACCATGGTTAATCATATCATCTCAAATGAATATTAATTCTGCTTCTGAACAAGATTTGTTAGAAATTAAATCTATGTCACCAAAAGATATTTTTATATTAGGTACATGTTTTCACTATAATTCTATGAATAATACAATTCGATGTGCAGGAGAAGATGTTTATAAGTATCCTGATGTGCTTCAAGTATGTAATATTCTAATAATTATTATATTTAAAACAAATAAAATTTTGTATTACATTAAAATTAATATTGTTAGACAGCAACATTCTGTTTAGTAATACGAGGTGCAAGACTTGGTCAAACTACACTTTTAGAATGCATGGCAGCAGGTTCTATACCTGTAATTATAGCTGATTCTTTGACAATGCCTTTTCATGGTATAATTGATTGGACTAGGTAATAATTAATTACATATTAGCTCTTTTATTATTATATAATAAATATATTTTATGTGTAGAGCTGTCATATTTATACGAGAAGTAGATATTTTATCATTAATATCAGTTTTAAAAAAAATATCTCAAGAACGAATTATAGAACTTCAACAACAGGGTGCATGGCTTTATGAAAAATACTTTAAATCTATGGAAAAAATAATAGAAACCACATTAGAATTACTTGCAGATCGTGTATTTCCACACTTAAGTAGAGATTATACATTTTGGAATATACCAGTTCACAAGGAAAGTCAAAATTATATTAATTATATTTATATTATTATATACAATTATTATATAATATATTAATTATATAACAATTATCAATAAATTAAATTAATTATTATTTTATTATAAATGTAGGATATTACATCTCCATTATTTTTACCTATTACTGTGCCAAAAACTCGAGGATTTACTGCTGTAATTTTAACATATGACAGATTGGAATTGCTGTTTTTGTTAATTAATAAACTTGTTAAAGTACCAAGTTTATCTAAAGTTCTAGTTATATGGAATAATCAACAAAAAGATCCTCCACATCGTAAATTTTAATTTTCCATATTAATATTTTTATATTATAATGTTTAATTTAATTTAATATTACTTACATTAAAATTTTTTTTATATATTATAGCATCTAGATGGCCAAAGTTGAGTAAACCATTAAAAGTTATACAAACAAAGGAAAATAAACTATCCAATAGATTTTATCCTTATGATGAAATTGAAACTGAAGCAGTCTTATCAATAGATGATGATATTATTATGTTAACTGCTGATGAAGTAGAATTTGCTTATGAGGTTTGTTTATTATAATTTAAACGATAATAATAATAATAATAATAGTAGTAGTAGTAGTAGTAATAGTAGTAGTAATAATAGTAATAATAATAATAATAATAATAATAAATAAATAATCATTAGATATGGAGAGAATTCCCAGATCGAATAGTTGGCTTTCCATCTAGAATTCATATGTGGGACAATGGAACAAATTGTTGGAAATATGAAAGTGAATGGACTAACAGTATTTCTATGGTCTTAACTGGAGCTGCATTCCATCATAAAGTAATATAGTATTATTATATAATATCTTATTATTATTTAAATAGATTTAGATTCCAACAAATTTTTATTTCAGACATTAAAAATATAATTTTTTAAATTTTGAATTCATTATTCCTTCCTGAAATATAATATTTTTAATATTTCCATTATAAATTTCCTTATGATCCTGGATATTCCTGAACAAGTTCCTGAAAAAATTAGGTATAATACTTTATTTGTAATTTAATATATAATTTTTTTTTCATTATATAATTATTAATGTATTTCAGTATTGGAATTATATGTATACTACTGCTATGCCTGGTGACATAAAAGAATGGGTTGATGAACATATGAATTGTGAAGATATAGCTATGAATTTTTTAGTAGCAAATATTACAGGAAAAGCACCTATAAAAGTAAGTTTATTAGTTATTATTAATTTTTTTTTTAATTTGAGATATATATAATATATATAAAATATTTAATATCATGATATAGGTGACACCAAAAAAAAATTTCGATGTCCAGAATGTACAAATACCGAAATGTTGTCAGCAGATTTAACTCATATGGTAGAACGCACTCAATGTATAAATAGATTTTCTTCAATTTATGGATCAATGCCATTACAATCAGTTGAATTTCGTGCAGATCCAGTTTTATTTAAAGATATATTTCCCGAAAAACTTAAAAGATTTAATGATATTGGAAGTTTATAATTATATATATATATTTATTCAAAATATAATAATAAAAAAGCTTTTCCTTATATTATATAAATATTATGTAATGCAGATTAAAAAATATAAAATTAGTATGAAATAAATTATCTGTTAAAGTATAGTTGAATTATACTATATCGTATTAATAATAGATACATATTTATTTTATTAACAAGTATATATTTATTTTCTATTTTATTAAATTTAAATAAAATTTAATAAAATACTAGATTTTTTTTATAAAAAAAAATAATTTTATATTTATAAAATCTTATATTTTTTAACTATTTCGAAATTTTAAAATCATTATTATATTTTTATTATTTTTTAAATTAAGTTTAATGATGCAATATAATATAATATAATATAATCAAATATATTATACATATAATATTGTTTTGATTTTTATAAAAATGGATGAAGCTTATAATATTGAATTAGATATTTTATTATATTTTTTTTTAATATTTTTTTTTATATTATAATTATAAAGATATGTATTTAAATTAGTTAGAAATAAATAATTATTATATAAGTAATTTCTTATATGGTAACATGTAATGGTAATATTCTAATATGGTAATATTGTCTTGCACAAATCATAAATTCATTAATATATTATGTGATTTTAAAACAAATTCCTTCAACGATTGCTTTCTTACCAACTTCATGAGATGGAAGAACAGCCATATGACTCTAAAAAAAATATAAATATATTATTTATATTTATTTTCATTTTATGAAATGAACAATCTTACCATTGGTGTTTGTTCATTTGAATTCATATAACCTATTATCATTGAATTTGTAGAGTGACTCCAAAGGAAATCCCCTAATCCTTCTTGTGGTGCATATCGTATAGCAATAACACCTCCAAGTTTCTGTTCAAGCCCGCACAAAAATTTTGAATCTGAAAAATTTATATTTCTATAAAAACATTTTATCTATAAATCACAATTTTTTCATACTAATAAAAGATATTTTTAATACTGAAAGATGATAAAGTAGTTACGAGTTTTCACCGATAAAATCAGCTTTCATAGAATGATACAAGTTGGTAATAGGACAAGAACTATGCGAAATAGCTTCTGCAACTGTTCGTGCAAGTAAAGTACGAATAAGATGTTCTCCACAGCCTGATGTGCTTGTTCCTATAGAATATTTATCTTTATATGCCCATGTACCACATCCCCACATTCCTGCCTTAAAATTATAATAATAATCATTTAATTATTTTCAAATAAAACATTTATACATAATGATAATAAAAATAAATTTATAAAATATACCTGCCCCACTCTTCCAGGATATTTTAAAATAATACCACCACTAGAACAAGCTCCAGCAATATTTCCTTCTTTATCAACACATATTGCTCCAACTGTATCCATTCTTTGTTTAGTATACTAAATTATTCAATTAATTTAAAATTCAATTATAAAAATATAACATAATAATAAAATAAAAAAAATAAAATATTAAAAACTTTTACCTTTTGAACATCTGCATTAGAGTTTTCTATTTTTCTTTTATAATGTTTATACATTTTCTGTGCTTTTGCTACAAAAATATAAATATAATAAAATATTATTATTTATTAAATTTATATATAATAAAATATCAAAAATCATAGAAATGTATAGCTTATTATTAACAATTTCTTTATGTGATGTATATGATGTATATGAAAAATAAAAAAGAAAAGTTTTTGAGATTAATGTAAATAATAAATTTTTTATTAAATATAATTAAATACTATTAGATTATTAAATAAAACAAATAATAAAATAAAAGATTAAATTTTACATACTTGAAATTAATTGTTCTGGAGGTAAAGTTTGGATTCTCATTTCTTGTGCCCATACATGTGCACCATTCCCAACTAGAAAACTGAATTATATTTATTATTTTTATAATAATAATAAAAAATATTATTTTAAATCTTTAAAATATTAATTTTTAATATTCATACCTTGGTGGAATTCTACCATATGCAATCTTAACTGATTGATGTTCACAAAGTCGTTTTGCCAATAAAACAGGATTTTTTATTCCACTAACTGCACCAACAGCTCCAAATTGCAATGTAGTACCATCCATAACACTTGCATCACATTCTACAGTTCCTTCTAATGTAAGATTAGAACCAAATCCAGCATTAGTTAATGGAGAATTTTCTAATACTATTACAGTTTCTACTACAGCATCTAATGAACTACCACCAGTTTTTAAATTCTGTATACCCTTTAAAAATATTATTGGATTATGTTATGATATATTAAAATATTATAAATAAAAAACTTAAAATAACTTACAGCTTTGCATGCTTGACGACATAATTTTTGATATTTTTCTTTAAGAGTTTCTGAATGTCGTCCTGCCCCTAATAAAACATATTAATATTCATTAATATTATATATAAACGTATAAATTTTATTAAATTAAATTAATTAAAATATTAATTTATTTTGTTTTTTTATAATTATGCTTAAATATATATTTCCAAAACTAATAACATACCTACATGAACAGCAACAAATCCATGATTAATATTACTCATTATAATATTATTATTAAGTTTTCAATGTTATTAAATGTTTATATTTTTTTTTTTGATTTGTGATTATCACATATGTAATTTTTGCATTTATTTTTATTTATAATATTTTGCAAATATTTCTAAATAAAATTATATATATAAATATCTATTTATTTAATTTATATTTATAATTTATGTTTATATTTAAACAAGATATAAAATTTATGGATTTTTATTATATATTGTAATCACATTACCTATAAAATATATATAAAATTACATTTAAACACGCATGCGTAATTATCCTAACTGTACATAATATTATGATACAAATTTTTATGAATATATATAATTTTATAATTTAATTATTTTAAAATACTATGGAAATATGTATTTAAAGACATTATTTAAAGAGTCTAAATAATTTAAATCAAATTTTTGAATTTTTTTAATACAATTATATTAGATATATAAATGAAATTACATCATCTAAGTCAAATATTCAATTATAAATTGTTGGCATGTGTTAATATACATATTGGCCGAAAATATCATATCTATATTGAAAAGATCATAAAGTTTTATTAAAATATTTATATGGTTTAAACAAATATATAAATATAAAATATATTAATACAAAAAATAAAAATTAAGAATTAAGATAAATATAGATAAGTTATTATACTTATTTACATTATTGTATTAAATTATTTAATTTAATTTACCACAATAAAACATTGTTAAAAACAAACATTTCATAAAATCGCGGGAATCTGAAACTAGTAACTTATAGTCACTTGATTATCTATACGATGATGAGATCCAGACATTATTGGATTTATTCAACAACGGTTCTTACTTCTAATAAATAATAGACTGTGTATTAAGTCAAATTTACACGATAAAGGGATAGAATAAAACAATTTAAATATAGAGCTTTTTCTCATTGTCCAGTTTTCGCCATCTAGTTGAAAATAAATATCAGTCGATTAAAGCTTATATAGTTATTGAAACTGACGCTAAAGGGCGTAAATTTTTACATAAAATACGCGGGAGTTGTCTATCCATAGTTCGTATTAATACCAATGGAATTGAACATACAGATTTATTACTTGCTATGTTTAAATTTATATGTGAAGTACGTAACATGTAACAATTTTTTATGTTCCCATGAAATACTACAAAATTTAAAATACCGGTTATTAACATAAAATATCAATTTTTGCAGTATTAAATCAAATGAAGGCTTTTTATATTAGGTACATTTATATTTTCAAATTTATATGTAATCATACTTATCATTTTTAATGAATGATTTATATTTATTTTTATATTTATTTATTTTGATTAGGATGCTTCAATTAACATAAGGATTATTTTAGGTTACTTGAATTAACAACATAGTAGCCATCTATTTCAACTTTATATATACTTACATATAAATACATATATATACGTATATATATATATATATATATTGTAAGTACCACATTTAAAATTTCTTTTTTGATGATATTAGATATTTATATATTAAGTTATGTTATTTTATTATAAGTGATAAAAATGATAAAAATCTGATGAAATTTTCAGGATTAAGTGACAAATAACAAAAGGCATATAATTTATAATATATTGAATGGCCATATTAATAAAAAACATTTGGACTTTGTGCTACAAGCAATTGTTTTCTTACAACAATCATGTTGTTGTTCGACTTTTTAAAAAAATTTTTTGGGTGGGTAGATGAAGCACCTAGGAAACGTAGAGCAGTTTCATTTAGTTTGGAAAAAGAATTTGTTACTCCAAAAAAAACATCGTTGTGATTATAAGACTATTAACGTGGAAGAAGAACCTATTGAAATTAAAGATGATAGTGATGAGGATGAAGTTCAAGTTATTACTAAACATAAATATCCTTCCATTAAGGCTTCTAGTAAATTAAATGGTACATGTAATAATAGTAGAGAAAAATCACTTACTTGTTGTTCTTCATCTTTTTCATCATCAAAATCTCAATCATGTTATGATAAAGTAAATATAGGATGTTCTAATAATAAAAGTGGAAGAATACAAAATATTGAATCACATCAACAATGTTCAACATTGATTAAAACTCATCGTTTAAGGGAAAAAAATCAGTATGAAGAATTATTACAAAATTTTCTCCCACGTAGGATACATGTCATATGTGATAAAAATGATGATAAAAGATCTACACAAGAACCAATAGAAGTAATAGATTTAGAAAGATCTAATTCTTCAACTCCTTTTTCCAAAACTCAGACAGCTTCTAGAAAACATGATAGAATGTTACAAATGCATTGGAGTACTCCAGTTAAAGAAAAGAAAGATACAGAAATAATTAATTTAGATAATGAAGAAAAAGAAGAGGTAATACATTCCATTCATAATAAAACATTATCTCATAGAAAAAATGTTATTGAAAAAGAAAAATTTTCACAAAATAAATATACTGAATGTATAACTACAAACACAT